TTCTATATATTTATAAGTGACTATATATATATATATATATATTTATAGTGTGTGAAAATTGCTTTTAAATGCTGACTCAGGAGGGACAACAGAAAGCATTTGAGCGGAGAATTTGACAGAGGATTATAAAATTATTATTGGGTGTAGTTGTCTGTGAGATCAATTATTTCTTCTCACAGATCATATAAAAAGGGAAATTTATATCATAACTCTAATCATAACTTTTTTGTAAACCAATTTATGTGGTATGTGAACTGTCATTCCTTTAAGGTATGTTTGGTGTACCGTATTGTATTATATTGTATTGTATTGTATAATATTATATTTTATTATATAATTTTTATACAATACGGTGTTTAGTTTGTAGTATTATTAAATATTATACTATTTTACTATTGTAATATATTTACATATTAATTTGTACTAAGGTAAAATTTAGGCAAAATCATAACCTAGTTCGACTCTAATGTCAACCCGAACCCAACATTTAGAAGAGGCAAGGGAGAAAGTAGAGTTACTACATAGGGGTCTTTTTGTAACAAATTTTGAAAAATGGGGCCAAATTGTAATTTTAAAAAGTAAGGGATGAAAATATAATTTTAAAAAGTTGAGGGGTAAAAATATAATTTTGAAAAAAATTAAGGTGTCAAAACATAATTTTTTAAAATTTTAGGGGTCAAAATATGATTTTTAAAGAGTTTAGGGATCAAAATGTAATTTTTAAAAACAACGTCGGTCCCAAAACCCAACCCCGAGTCTTGATATCTGTCAAATATTTTATATGTTTTTAGTATGCTATTTTTATTTAAATTGTATAATATAGTCTAGTACATATGTTTTTTTTTTATATTAGATATCACACTCCGTATTGTATTAATTTTGAATCTTGTATTAAATTATACAATGTATAAATGTCACCAAACATTATATTATTAACCAATTCAATACGAAGTGTTTATATGATGTACCAAACATGCCCTTATTAGTAGTTATTTAAAAGATTGACACGTTAATTAAAATAAGTGACAACATTTACCGGTGAAAAGATGATAATTCTATACCATATAAGGTAGTACAAAATAATTTGGATTGGAGTTGGTGTCGTTAGTACTACTCGATCTATATAAAGTTGTATTCTAAGAAAGAACGATTTCTTGTAATCGTAAAAAATAAAAAACAAAATATTTATCATAATTTTATTATCTTTCAAATTGGAATAGAGAATTTGAACAGTAAACCTAATTATTGAAGTCTTGGAGTTTAAACTTTAAAATTTACCGCTAAGCTAAATATGCAATCGCAATATAGGATTCGAATTTTGATAGTGCTCATTTTCGACCTTAATAGATTTTAAAAAATAAAAAAGATTGCGAAATTTCTTATTGTCACATATTCTATCTGCACGCTAAAATTTTCTATTGCGTATCCCTAATAATCTCAGGTGCTAATTAACGTACTATAATCAACACAACGAAAGATCTTCCGTACTCCATGTCCAACTGAAATAAAGGCAACATTTTTTTTCAAAATTCATCACAATTACGACTTCTAATATGCACTTTGCTACCATCTTTTTCCTTTCATTTTGTAATATCTTGACCTTGAAATCAATCATACTCGATCAATAAAGATGAGTTTGGAACATACATCTCTCTTAGAGTTGTCAAATGGGCCGGGCCGTCCAGCCCGTAACAGTGATGGATTCAGCACGACCCGGTACGATACTATTACAGGCCGTACTGACCTGGCACGTTTGATGGGCTAGGACTGGGCCGCGGCTTCTCAGCCTGCGGCCCAAGCCTGGTGCTAGCCCGTGAAGGATTGTGACCGTTGGGCCCGCGAAAGGGTCAACCATCACAATCTGAAAAAAACCTCCAAAATCCCCTATAAATACTCCTTAATCCCACCCTAAATCCCATACAACAATTCACTCTCAAATTCTCATCTCACTCTCATTCTATCTCTCATCTTGTCTCTTTGATTTTGATTCTAGGCTTTTCTCTCGCAATCACTTATTTTCTTGCTCTTTCATTTACAAAGTTTAAGTTCAATCAATTTTTAGAAAATGGCCGCATCAAACTTTCTTGATTTCGCTGCTCTCCCTGAGCTTGGTGATGAACCATTTTTCGAGGATGAAATGATGCCTGCCAACCCCACCCCCAAGAAACCGGAAAATGCTCCGGCTGATAACGCTTCAGTGTACAACGAGGAATTTGGAGAATGCGGCAGGAGAAAAAGACCTCGAACTTCTCCTGCATGGCAGCATTTCACAGTGGAGCCCTGACCAAATCCAAAAACAGGTGAAATAGAAATTCGTGTGGCATGTAAGTATTCTAAAAAATACTTTTCTAATAAAAAGAGTGGGGGTACTGGTCATCTGGATAGATATTGGAAAGCACGTATACTATTGCACCAAGGTGAGATTGTGGACTCTCGCAATCAAACACTATCACTCACATCACAAGGGTTGTAAAATTTTACATACGATGCAAAATGTGATCGTGAGGCACTAGCTAAATTTCTAGCTAGTGCCGAATTACCTCTTTCTTTTGCAGATGATGCGTCGTTCGAAGAATTCATACAGACGGCCTTCTGCCGCAATTTAAACGGGTAAGTAGAAACTCAACTCGTTCTGATTGTATAGAAGTGTTTTATGCAATGAGACAATCTCTAGTTGATAATTTTAGGTCTTTTAATGCTACTACATCTTGTACTTCTGATCTATGCGTGGGGTGCAATAAAACTGGATATTTATGTGTCACGACGCATTATGTTGATGATGAATGGGTTTTACAAAAGAGAATAATAGGTTTTCATTTATGTCCATATCCTCATAACGCAAATGCTATTTTTAGAACAATAATAGAAATTTTTGGGTTTATGGGATAGAAGATAAAGTTTTAACTATTACTTTTGATAATGCGTTAGCTAACACTGCTACAATTAACATGTTTAAACGTAGTTTGAAACCAGCGTTTGGGAGGGGGGGGGGGATTTTTCATCAACGGTGTGCGTGTCACATAATCAATTTAGTAGTTAAGGCAGGAATTTAACATATTTATGCTAATCTATCAAATATTAGAGAATCTTTATCCTATATATCTAATTCTAGAGGTCGGCTCCAAGAATTCAAATAATATTGCAGGAACAGTCAGATGCGCCTAAGAAGATTTCCAACTGACGTGAGACATAGGTGGAATTCCACCTATTTAATATTGAAGGCTGCACTCCTGTATCAATAGCTCATCACAACGTATATAAACAGTAAGAACGATCAACTTTTAATTTTCGATACAGATTGGCAGTTTGGTGAGTATTTTTTCAAATTTCTAGAAGTTTTCTACAATGCTACAGAATTACTTTCCGGAGTTTATTATCCTCCTGCACATTTAGCTTTACATCAACTATTTAATATTTCAGAAACATTTTCTTATTATAGGGATACTGAACTTTTTGGTAACATAGTTAAGCTAATGGAAACTAAATTTAAAAGTTATTGGTTAGGTTGTTGTATGTTATATGCATTAACAACCATTTTATATCATAGGTGCGGAATAGATCAGACTGAATCTTTGATGACTGCTACAGTAGAAAATTTAGGTATTGATATGCTACTAACTATTACTGACGCTAGAAAAATGTTAGAAAAGTTATTTGGTTTGTATGAAGGAAAATACAACACATGTAAAAAAGAATAGGGAACTTCGACGTCAACTAGCAGCTCGGGGCCTAAAGGCTCGTCGTGGAGTTTCTTGAAGAAGAAAGAGAAAACGGGAGGATTGTCATCAACACAAGCGTCTACTGAACTGGTAAAATATTTTGAAGCAAATTTTATAATCGATGACGACAAACTGGACATCTTACAGTGGTGGAAGAGCAAGACCAATCGTTTTCCAACATTGTCTGTAATAGCTCGTGACATTCTGACAACTCCAGTGTCAACGGTAGCATCGGAGCAAGCAGTTAGTGTAAGCAACCGAATTCTTGACGAGAAGAGAAGCAGAATGCATGCAGATATCTTGGAGGGGCTCATGTGTGTTAAAGACTGGAAAGATGCTAGAAGACGAAAACAACAATATACAGATGATTCAATGCAAGACTATTTTTCTAACTTAGAAATAACAGAATTTTCTGGAAGCACTTAGGTTTTGTAATTTACTTATCCTTGAACATTGCACTCTTTTTGTCTTCGCTAAGGTTTTGTCCCGATCTCCTCATGAGTTTTACTTGGCAAGGTTTTTAAAGAGATAGTCATTTATGTGTACTTATTCATATTATCTCAATTTAATAAAATCACATCTTTTGGGGACAAATGATATCTATATATATATATATATATTTTAATTAAATTTTGTAAAAAAACTTACAAGGGCCAGGGCCGGCCCGTGAGCCCTAGCCTTTATGGACTAGAGCCGCAGGCCAGTTCCAGACTTGAGAGTTTCTCCTCAAGCCTAACCCTGGCACAGCCCAAGCCCACCACGAGCCTGGGGTCGGACATGATGTGCCGGCCCGACACGGCACGTTTGACAACTCTAATCTCTCTCCCTCTTTTTTTTTTTTTTTTAATTTGTCAAAATATTGCCTTCTGAAACGAAGATGGCCCATATTGGAACATACAAGAAGCACCTGCTTATTAATATATGTATATATATACACACATACACGCGCTTATATATATATATATATATATATATATATATATATAATTCCCAAAACAGTAGGCTATTAGACCTCCAATATTATTATTCTTAAAAAAATAAAAAAATAAAAAATAAAAAAAAACCTTCCAATTTCATGATCTTTTCTCCCTGTGCCTTGTAGGTTGGTTGCACTTCACATGCATCGTCCCCATCAACATTTCACAAGAATACCGCCCATCAAACCCTACTTTCTTATCCTCCTCTCTTTCCACAAACTTCATAACTCCCATGCACAGTACTAAAAAGAAAAAAAACCCAACAATAAAAATTCATAATATCATTCACAAACCAAACAACATCATGTCCCACATTCAAGAAACTCATGATCAACAACATGAACCAACTAACATCCGAAGACTCCAGTTCCCACTGGACCCGAACTCATATAAAATCCTCGACGAGATCGGCGTCGGCGTCAGCGCCGTCGTCTACAAGGCCCTCTGCCTGCCGCTGAACTCCGCCGTCGTCGCCATCAAATCGATAGACCTCGACCAATCCCGCGCCGACTTCGACAACGTCCGACGAGAAGCCAAGTTCATGTCCCTCCTCTCCCACCCCAACGTCCTCAACGCCCACTGCTCCTTCACTGTCGACCGCCGCCTCTGGGTCGTCATGCCTTTCATGTCCGCCGGCTCCTTGCAGTCCATCATCTCCTCTTCCTTCCCCGACGGCCTCTCCGAGCCATGCATCGCCGTTGTCCTCCGAGAAACCCTAAACGCATTGTCGTATCTCCACGATCAAGGCTACCTCCACCGCGACATCAAGGCCGGGAACATCCTCATCGACTCCAACGGCTCCGTTAAGCTCGCCGATTTCGGCGTCTCCGCGTCGATACACGAGTCCAACTCCTCCCGAGGATGGTGCTCTCCGTCGTCCTCGGTCTTCACCGACGTCGTGGGGACGCCTTACTGGATGGCCCCGGAGGTCATACACTCCCACAACGGGTACGGCACCAAGGCTGATATTTGGTCGTTTGGGATTACTGCGTTGGAATTAGCCCATGGAAGGCCTCCACTCTCTCACCTTCCTTTATCCAAGTCTCTGGTTCTGAAGATCACCAAGCGGTTTCGATTTTCGGATTACGAAAAGAACAAGAACGAGAAGAACAAGAGATTCTCGAAGTATTTTAAGGAAATGGTCGGATTGTGTCTCAACCAAGATCCCTCCAAGAGGCTAACTGCTGAGAAATTGTTGAAGCACTCGTTCTTCAGGAACTGCAATAAGGGTTTGGACTTTTTGGTGAAGAACGTTTTGCATGGATTACCTAGTGTGGAGGACAGGTTTAGGATTATCAAGAGTCCTACTTTGAGTGTTGTGCCTGTGGTTAACAAGAGTATTGGTGATGAGGATGGTGAAGATGAGGAAATGGAGGACTCAAATGAGAAAAGGAGAAGGATTAGTGGGTGGAACTTCAACGAGGATGGGTTCAAGCTCGACCCGGTGTTTCCGACCGACTCCGAAGATGATTCCGTCGTGAAACAGGTCCGGTTCGGTGGTGAAACCATTATTCAAAACAAGGGAGGTGAGTCAAAAGGCGAGTCAATACGGAGTAGTTCACTCGATCAACCCAGCCAGTTCACTCAGTCAACTTGTTCGAGTTCGAGTTCACTTGGTCAAGTTGGGGAGGAGACTCGTGCAGTGAGTCTTGTTCAAGAGAGGGGTGGTGAGTCAGGCGAGTCAACGCCGGGTGAGTTGGGCGAGTCTAGCCCAAGTTCACCGGGTCAAGGACGGACGAGTGGTGGTATTATTGATAGGGACATTGTGATGCAGGATTTGATATTTTTGAAAAGGAACTTGGAGGATGAGAGGCAGACCTTAATGCAGGTGTTTAGGCTGTTGGAAGCGGAGGAGGCGGTGGAGGCGACAAGGGAGGAGTACTTGGAGCGGATGGTGGAGAGGCTGAGGTCAGAGCTAGAGAGTGAGAAGAAGAGGAACTTGGAGTTGGAGTTGGAGGTGGAGTTTCTCAAAATGCAGATTCAATGTGATAATTAACTAGATATCATATTAGCACAAATAAATATTGCCTATTTGAGTGCAACACGATAGCACATAGTTTGGGATCTAAAATCTCATGTTCAATTTCGTGTTGTTATATGGCATTTAACTAATCACGTTATGTCAGTGTTATTTTAAGAATTTAAAATGTAGTCTTTTTTTTTTAACTTTTATTTCATACATGGTTTATGTGCTTGGTTAGCCATATGAGTCGTCTAATACGAGATCTCTATCCATATGTACTATACTAAAGAGAATAACAAAGATAACATACGAGAATAGAAAAGTTAAGACAACTTTTTAATTTTTTATTTACTTGTGATGAGTAATCATATAAGCTAACATAAACTCTATTTATAGGACAAGAATCATAAGTAGGTAAGATAAGAAAACATAAGTTACAAAAGTTACACACTATAAATGAGAGAATTATAGGGTGACAATACACATAAATATGAGTGGAATAATGGAGGTATAATGAGGTCCACTACAAGAAAAAGGTGTTTTTGCGACGACAAAAAGTCATCGCAAAAACCCCAGTGTCGTCGCAAATAATAGTTTTAGCGACGACATGTCATCGCAGATATGTCGTCGGAAAAACTTTTTTTGCGACGACACAGTGTCGTCGTAAATATATTTGCGACGACATATTTTTTTTACGACGACAAGCGTCGCTAATACGCCGTTCTGAAATTGTCGTGATATAATATTTTTTGCGACGACAATTTCAAAATGTCGTCGCAAATAATCTTCCTTTTTTGCGACGACACATATAAAAATATCGTCGCAAAAAACTAGAATAAATTTTTTTTTTAAAATTTTTAAAAAAATGGCAATTAATTAATTTTTAATAATTTTAATTAAACGTTATTATGTTACATATTGAATATAATTTATTAAGATACATTAAAAGTGAAATATAAATTAATATTAAAAACAGTAAATCTAAATAAATTTATAAAATATAATCCAAATACTACATGAAGTGCATATATAATGTTCAAAAAAATATAAAAGTCTAAATAAAGTGAAAAATAAAATAGAACATATAACGGAACTATTCGTCTAAGTTTGCAGCATCGCCAACAGCTGAATCATCATCAGGACTGTCATCATCTGAAGGAGGCAGAGGAGTGTCTAGGTTAACTAGTTCTGGACGAGTAATCGTAGGTAATTGGATGTTGGGCTGCAATTTAGACACTAACTCTAACATCTTCACCTGATTGTCATAAATCTTCATTTGTTCCCGGTATGATTTCTTTAAATAACGATCCATACGTGAGTTAGGTTGAGCTGATGAGGTTGCGTCTGAGAATGATGCATTTGTCTCTCCTCCTCCAGGGTGTTCTACATAATAAGACATTATAATTATTTTTACATGTTATAAAACCACTATTTCAGTATAAAAAAATTTAATATGAAAAGTAGAAATACTTACGAAAGTCTGTTCCGCATGGGTATTAACCCAAGAGTCCCCGCGACGATGCATGTCTACCCAATTGTCTATAGCAGACATCGGCTCTTGGGTATCTGTACTGGCCTGTCAAATAAATTACATTTATTAAAATTCTTAAATTCTAACTAAATTTCGGCAGCATAACGACTTATTTTTCATATGATAAAATCCAAAAAACCTGTAGAAAAA